ACTGACTTGTAAGGGATATTCAGAAGTTGCAGAATACAGAAACAAAATTGTGACAGCCAGGCTATAATCCTCTTGTATAGTATAACACATCTTTCGATGGGTCAGAAACAGCATAGTACAATCAATAAATACATCAGACAATTTTAGCTCAATAATGAGCAACAAGACAAGCTCAACACTTCCATATATACTGAGGGGCATAAAGTGCACGCAGGTGGGAAAGTGAATGTTTTCCCTCTGCATTTGCAAAGCAGTTTGTCCATGCAAAAGAACCATTTTCTTAGTTTCACCCTGGTCCTGTCAACTCATCCGCGGTATAATGCCAACAGCATAACTTTTGGAGGTGCATGAGCTCAAGCTAGGAAATCACCATGTACTGTAGATTATCTGTTGATAATATGAGATTATCTGAATTGAATGACTCTTAATTCAAGGCAACCTGCCTTCAAGAGATATGTTGTTAGCATTAAACCCCACGTATCTACACAAGAGTATTTGGCAATAGACTCAAAAGACCATGAAAGACAAGAGCTACTGCCTGTGATGTTTCCACACAAACTGTGCTATGGCTATACAACCAAGCAGCAAAGAACATGGTGGCCATTCACAGCAGCAAACTAAAGATGAAATAAATCCTTTGCAGTGTTTGCTTTGCTACTTTAAAAGCATACGTCTACTGCAAAGTTATAGCAATCTGATATCACTTTAACTGGTATGGCTGCATCCTATGGAATCCACAGATCTGCAGTTTGGTGATACCTAGAGTTGTCTGTTCGAGTTCTAAAATATGTCCTTGAACTACACAGCATTAGAGCTCTCTGTCATGAAGTCCTTTAAATCTAATTGTAGATTCATTTTTAATATTTGTAGTGGAAGGCAGAACCTTGGTCACCACTGAATCATTGACTAACTTGAGGACTCTGTACTATAAAAGAGAGATTAGTGCTATTAGGCTACCCTTCGTTTTTGCTGTAAATTGAACACAGCTACCCTTCCTTATTCCTGCCAACCTAGCAGTTCGAAAGCATGTAAAAATGCGAGTAGATAAATAGGTACCACCTTGGTGGGAAGGTAATGGCATTCCGTGTCTAGTCGTGCTGGCCACGTGACCACGGAAACTGTCTTCGGACTAACACAGTAGCTCTATGGCTTGGAAACAGGAATGAGCACCGCGACCTATAGTTGGACACGACTGGACTAAATGTCAAGGGGAACCTTTACCCTTCCTTATAGAAACAGTAACATTAGAAGTAATTGCAAACGAAACATCAAAACCAGAAAGAAAAAAACCCATCCAGCCATACGTACATCCAAGCCCAGTTATGTGCTGGAAGCAGATAAAAATGGGTCATCTTTCACAAGGCAGTACTTGATTAGTAATGCTTCTTATATGAATTGGCCTCTAAATGGACAGTCCTTTTACTCAGAGGCTACAGATGACACAATGCCTGTAATAGGGGTGATTAAGCCAGTGTAAAGCTGAGTCACAAAGTTAAAACATCTCTGGGAAACCAGATGAATATCCTCATTATGTTTGGCTGTATGCAGATGATTGTCTTTTCCTTTTGGCTTGCTACATGGATGCCTTTGCAAAGCCAGCATATTCACTGAATCACACCCACATAGAAGATGATCATATTCTAATAGTTCACTTAAAAACCATTTCTGCATTCCAAATGGATTTCCTATCTGAAACTGAGTATCTGTGGCGTTCATTTAAAATGCTATCTTTGGAGCAGGAATCCTACTCCTCCCATTGAAAAAGAAGGAAGCAACACTGAGTTTCATCAAGGTCCTGTACTGGGACCAGTACTTTATATATGTGTCCATGAACTATCCTGAGTTAGCAAGAAATGTGGGGACCAAGATGGCTGATGATGACATTGCCCCTCGTTTAGATGGCAGAACAAGTGTATGCAACGAAGAACTGTAAAAGAACCTCTCTGTGTTCAAGGAAGGGACACTAAAACAGAAAATGCAGTTCAATATAAGCAAGTGCAATCTGTTGCCAAAAACAAACAAATCCTAAGATTACATCAGATCTCAGACATCAGTGACTGATATTTAAAAAGGAGATTCTGGAACTGTTGTGGATAGCTTGGTGAGAACATCAACACAATGTGCAGCTGTTGTGAAAAGGTAGATTTGCACACAATCAGGTCAACATTGATGGTTATCCTTTTCAGAGTTTTCTAGGCAGATTCCTCTAAAATGGCTGATCATTCCCTTCTTCTTGGAGGACACTCTGGGACTCTACAGCTTGTTGAAAGCTACACAGACTGGCTCTCCTCTTGGAAAACACAGTGGGGAACTGAACGTCCATTCTCTGGTCCCGCTGCCAGGTACCCAACTCACCGAGCTACCTAGCCAGCTAGATTCTATACTGAGGACCATTAAAAACAGAACCTACATGAATGCTTATTTTAAAATTCTTATTTCTATCAAACGACATTATACCAAATCAGATTATCAGTCCATCTAGCTCCAGTTTATGCCATGGTGCTGAACTATGGCACAAAGGCAAATTTGCCACACATATTGGTACCAGAAGCATGAAGGATACATGCCTTCTCTTTACTTTGGATTCAGGAAAATCAAAACAGCTGTAGCACTGGGAGAAAGGGAGCAGAAAATGCAGTACCCAGGAAATGGTAACTCCATACCTACTACGCAATTGTATTCTTGGCTCCAAAATACTATTTCCAAAATATGTGCGCATAACCCAAAGCAGTTGGCAGGATTAGACATAACATTTTGGCAGTTGAGTAAAGACTCTAATTCTCCCTGGCATAGAGAATTCTTTTCGTGTCCAAGGAACCAAAGCAGCCGTTCGGCAACTTCCATGGATATGCCTACAGATATTACCCATTGGGAGAAGTGTCACTGTGAAACGTAACTATTGGTTAATTAGTTACAAAATATTAGGGAAGAAGAAGCTTAAGCACATACATGCTACAGTAATATGTCCCATGGTACCAGGAATGAAAGTTGGTAGTGGTTTTGGAAGCTAACTTGTTTATTTTTTAAAAGTTTAGGCAACTGGTGGTCCTCCTGAAGTTGCTATACTGGAAAACCCATCACCACTAACTCTTGTTGTGTTAAAATAAGCAGTATAATTTTAAAATTCAGTAACTATTTCAGCTGTTAGTAAAATAGTAACAAATGTGCCAAAAATAGGAATAAAAACAATAAGACAAGGTTATCGAATTACAGTGTGTCCAAATTGTAGTGTGTCCTCTAATCACACCAATAGTTGTTGTCCTTGTAACAGGAATACGGCATTTAATTTAGAAATCCCCTAATGTGGTTTATACAAATCATTAGAATGAGGCTTTTAAAAATATGATTTGAATCAAACAATGGACTTTCCCCCTGTCCTTATTCATCCTGCTTCTCCAGTCAAGAACCACTAAGGGGATCAGGACATGGGAGGAATCCATGTCTGACAGTTTTAATACCAATGAAATATCCAGGTCTCAAAACCGGTGGCCACCCTTGGAATGCCTGTGGTTAAGTATAACATTATTTTTCAAAAGTCAGCTCTTGAGGACATCCTTCCCAGACTCTGTCAACTAAAATATTAATGTCATGTAAAGATAAAGGTAAAAAAAGAGAGAGAGAGAGAGAGAGAGAGAAAGAGAAAGACAGCATTGACAGTATTAAAAGAATTTGGTAAAGTATTTTAATTCAAAATGACCCAATGCAAAAAATCTTACATTACAAAATGAAGAAGAAAATAGGTTAAGATACTGTTAAAAAAGAAACTGCTGCACGGAAGATAGGTCTCTGCTGGTCAAGATCTGCTGCTCAGAGCCGTAGCTGTGTCCAGTTTCCCTTTATTTTCTCTCCTCCCCCTATGAGGCACAGTCTCCTCCTCTCTTCTAACCTTAGCATTATAACTGGGCTGCTAACCATACTTAATGTTAAACAGAGATTATCTTCCTAACAAGGATGCAAAATGGGTTTGGGAACCTTCCAAATGAAATAAGCTCTTGTTAAGGTCAGGATGAGGGGAGAGGACGAGAAGAATTGCATGCTAGGAATGGGGAAGAAATGTCTGTTCTTGTGGCCGACTCTTAATTTGATAAGTCACCATCTGCAGGAGCCCCACGTCATCCCTATACTGGGCCTTACTCGTCTTTGTCTGTATGAAGGACCAAATACTAAAAAGTACAGAACGCTGTTTCTTCATGCTGTCCCGGAAAGGACGAAGTTGTTTTTGTCATGAGGAATGAAGTAAGCAAATAGAGGAAAACAAGAAGAAACAGAGGAAGGGAAAAACCCCACAATCCAAACAGAAGCCTTTGGAATTAACAAATATGATCTCCAATATTGTAAATAGATTAGAAATGTGGTAATTAAATAATGTAAAAAAAACACTCTTACTCTGCTGTACATTTATAAACAGAAATATTTACAAAACTCTGGTTTTGTTTTCAAAAGGATGAGGTTTGTGGTTTGTTAATGATCATTGTCTTGTTCATTTCTTTGGTGCATTTGCCAATCTGTGTATGAAAAAAACTGTGAACGTTAACAAATATTCAAGTGGTAACAGGCCAGGGATATATGCTGTTGTCTTTTGGTTTTTTTTTTAAAGCCCAAACTTCTCACAGAAAATTCCCACGATATTCTAGGTGCAAAACAAACAAGCAAACAAACAAAAAATCGCGTCAACATCATTGTTCCAATTCTTAGACCAGTAAAATGTTGAATGTGCTCAAAGAAGTGGAAATCCTCTGGGCTGCGTTACTTTTCATTCAGCTGAGCCTGCCTTGGAGGCGTACATACAGTAAATTCTGGCCTTTGGTCCCAATTCAGTGTAGCATGGACGCAATGAAACAGAAGGAAGGAAGGAAGGAAGGAAGGAAGGAAGGAAGGACCAGGTGGTTTGTATGCTCAAGAGCTCAGTTTTTTATGCCAGTGAAATCCAAAGCCTTCCCCTTCTTCCCCCTTGCCTTAAACCTGCCAATACAACTTAACTGAAAGAAAAGTTTGCAAAGTAGGTTTGAGGGATTTTAGTTTTATGGTCTATTTTATAAAAGTGTGCTATTTAAAAACACAGGGGGGAAACACAAAGACAAAGACCTCAAACAAATAAATAAATGGAATTATACATTTCATTAAATAGCACTTTTGTTATCAGCAAGACATTTATACTTTTTTATGTCACAGCAGCAAGACAGAATAAAATTCACCTTACAATGGATCCCTGAACTAGTAGAGACAACTAGGCTGTTAAGAATGTACTATCACTTTTTCCAAAAAAATACCAAAACAAAACACCAGCCAAACTGATTCACACCTGTAATTCTAGAGCCATTCCCCCGTCACCAAAGCATATCTAACCTCTTCTGAGCTGGGGCCTTCAGATATCAAAGAACCTAACAACCAAAACAGACTGATTAATGGAGAGCTTTTTAAATCTCTTCTAGAAGAACAAAAATTAATAGTTATTATTAGGTTTGTATCCTTGGAAAGCTGAGATCCTCCTGCCCCTAACCTCCCAAAACCATACCATTCACTACTGCACATTAAATACAGCATGGATGGCTTACCTATGGCTCCCGTTATGAAGATAAGGTGAGCTAGCTGGCTGTTCAACTGATATGTTTCAGTAAACACACTTCTCACCTGCCATTACTAAAGCAGTATTAATAAAAGCTGGTTGGTTGAAATGCCACTCATTTCTTGCTTGCTTATTCAAAACCAAGCACAAACAGAACCAAATCAGCTTTTGCTACCACAGTTCTTTTTAATTCACAGCCAGCAAGAGATGTGACACTTGGGAAAACAGATACTGCTTTTATGACCTACTGATTAAGTAGCAGAATGGATCCTTAATTATCTGCTTTTTGTTTCCCCTTTGAGAAAATGAGGCAAGAGTGTGTTTGAGATTTGGATGCAGAATCAAAACCCAGAGGTCCAGCTTTCAAGATCATGGCAGATATTGATAACGCCAATGAGATATATAGACAGCCTCCAGAAACCCAATCTGCGGTGCTCCCCACTAATGCTAAAGAGCTTTACTAAATGGTAGTCAACATCATAGCTTATGTTGGAATAGCTTCAAGCTAGAAAGCAGGAATTGGGCCTTGTAAAGTTAGATTTGTGATGAGACAATTATTTTATTGGCAGTGAGAAAGTCTCATTAGGGTTGAGTTGCATATAGAATTCCCAAAAGCAGGGGGGGGCAGCATTGATGCTAATATTGTTGTGGATACGCCCAATATCAGCTGTGGTTCAACAGACCTATTGAACACACAGAGTTTACATTCAAATGTGCAAATTTGAGATTTCATGTTTACACAGCTTAGTGTGTAGGCAAGATACATATGGGTGATTATACTTCGTATTAGCAGGTATTCTGTGCTGTGCACAATCTTCACATAGTGCATATGAGCAAAGTAGGAGTTTTAATCAGCCCAAAGCAAATTATACAGCCTCCCTAAAAAGAATTAAGAACAAATTGCCAAATTAGATTTTTAGGACTAGAATTTGACTTCTTACTTGGGAAAACAGAAGTCTGATCAAAGTGAGCCCATTAGCTTGCTTCAGTTATCTCTGAAATTTGGGAGGGGATAATAGAAACTTCAGTAATAATGAAGAAATCTGAATAGCCACAAACATCACATTGAGGCCAGGGGTACGAACGGGTGAAAGTCACATGTGATGGAGAAAACATAAAATGGAAAAAAATTGCACATGAGACACTATATGAGAAACAGTATGCAATGGCTTTGAAATTAGATTTGCTTTCTGTTAATGCTTTTATAGGAGAAAAATAATAATACAGAGACCACAGAGGCATCTGAGCAGTGTAAAACTTAATTACAAACAGCAACCCACATACTGGCATCAAAGGAGGGGCAAGGCATATGGACTTCTGAACAGCAATAATAATGTTAAGGATCCAACTTATACTTTTTGGAAAAAGTGAACGTGGCAATGTTTCCAAAGAGTTGACATGTTTCTAAGTAAACTCTGAACACTCTACTGACAAGCCTGAGCCATGATTCGGAGAAATGTTCTGGGCAGAGCTATGCTCACATGGAATCCACTCAATTGTCAGGACTCCTCATGGCGCATATACAGACACCCATATTTCTCCCTTTACAGGAGCAGTACTAATGGGTGAAACACCAAGTACAATTGCTATGCCGCCTCTTTATTTCAAAGGGGTCTGGCTGGGATTCCCCACAAACAGATGGACACAACAGCTGATTACTGGGCTGACTGCTCCCTCAAGGCTCCAATCCTTAGCCTGTTTAGTATTAATTCCACTATCTCACAGTATTACATGTGCTACCTGGGGGTTGGGGGAAGGCTTTCAATAGCCAGTGTTCTTCATTCAAAGCTGCATGTTTAAGTTTTCAGAGGTGATATTTTGAAAAACAAACAACCCCCCCCCTGCAAAAAGAAAAGAAGGGAAACATGAACAAGATCCACAATTGCAGAGTTGTTTAGAAACTTTGAAATCCTGTAAACTTGGACCAAGAAATAAAAAAATTAAGACCTTCTAACATTTGGTATAAAACACCTCTTCCCCTTAAGGAATTGTATACCTGCCTTCTGACTTCTCGGAAAACACACAATAAAATCAGAAATTGCATAGGATATACGTTGTGCAAGGTAACCAGCCTTTGAAAGGTATCTGGAATATAAACGAATCTTGCTTATTGTCCACTGTCTTTTGCAAAACGTCAAATATCATCAAATTTGTGTTTTAAGTAGTCTTTCATGACCTTGGCAATTGGTAGTTCATCAAGTAGTTTGAGGTTTTGAAGGCCTATACATTGGCGGATTTTAATTCGGCATAGATCTTGCAAGTTCCGTGGTTGTCCTAGAAAGAGAAAAGGGAATTAATATATCATGTAAAGGTTTTTTTTTTTAAAAAAAGGACAGCTAAAACATACAAACATGCAGAATCCCCACCCTTTACAATTTATATCTCATGCAGTGGGGGAAATGACATGTCATGCTGTCTGATTTAAGCCATTTGAAGACTGACAATCGCAGACAGACTTCAGGGTGGCTGAAATATATATGCACCTTTCCTCATGTTTTGAATGCAACACCCCTGAACATAAACAATCACAAGAACGGCAGCTTCCAGTAGAGCACCTTAGGGTTTTTAAGCATTCTGGTTTGCTAGAGTGCACAAGTGAATGTCAAAAGCTTAGGGTAATCCAAGGAAACATGACCCAGCCCAAATCTCCTCTTCTGGAAACTAAGAATACACAGTCAATGTTCTGAATAGAATAGTGGAAGAAAGTCAATCCACACTTAAGAGAGAATTCCTAAGAACCTGATTATTAGGAATGTTGACATTTCTTCCTGATAAGCTGAAGAGCATTTCCTGGGAATGTGCTAATAATGGGCATTTCTAGCGTTAAGCACCAGTTGCCGCATCGACTGGATCTTGGTGTCTAGAGCACTTACTCATTCTTGGTTGCCTCTGAATGAAAAAGTAAGGGGGGGGAGGTATTACAGACCAACACCAGTGAACCTTCATTTGGTAAACGTAGAATATTATTAGTAAGCTGGCAAGACAAGCAAAAGAAGGTGATAAATCAGGCTTGGTCTAATGAGGTGTAATAAGTACAGAACCTTTGCAACGGTTGAAAAGATATTTGGATATAGGTAAAAACTAAGAGGTTAGGTAAGACAATTAAAATATTCTCAAAGCCAGTACCCATTAAGCCCACTGTCTGCTCCTAACAGCGAAACATTTTCAAAGCATCATATTCAAGGAAATCTTTATTAGTGAGTTTTCTTCCACTCTTTAAAAGAACAGTTAGTGGTTTTGTTAGAAGAAATTGTTTTTAAAAATCTCCTCTAAGCATGTGTGTTCTGTGTCATCAAGTCAGAATCAACTTATAGCAACCCTCATGCGGCTTTCAAATTAAGTGAGATATTTAAGGAGTGGTTTTACCAGTTCCACTCCTCCAATGAGTTTCCACGGCAGTGTGAAGGGATCGAACCCTGTTCTCCAGAGTCCTAGATGATCATTTTATCTTTGTTGTTTTTAAGTCGTGTCCAACTCTTCGTGACCCCATGGACCAGAGCCCGCCAGGTCCTCCTGCCTTCCACTGTCTTCCGGAGTTGGGTCAAATTCATGTTGGTAGCTTCGGTGACACTGTCCAACCATCTCATCCTCTGTCATCCCCTTCTCCCCTTGCCTTCACACTTTCCCAGCATCTGGGTCTTTTCCAGGGAGTCTTCTCTTCTCATCAGATGGCCAAAGTATTGGAGCCTCAGCTTCAGGATCTGTCCTTCAAGTGAGCACTCCATTTTATCTACTTCATTATAACTGGAATCTCCCTCTAAGCATAAACTGCCATAAATTTAAGTTTAATCAATCTTCAGTGATAACAGAGAGGGAGAACCATGACATTCAAAATGTAAACAAAAGATGGTGGGTGCCTAAAAAGATGCCCCAAAGACTCAGTGATATTTGAGGGGCCTGAAAATTTTGCTAGGAGGTGGTGAAGAAAGATGCTTACTGCCCACATGGGTCAGTGCACAATCAATGGCACCACATCTGTTCTGTGAAGGCATCACTATAATGGGCATAGCCATTTAACATTACTATTCAACTGGAATTTTAAATGAATACTACTTGGTAACTATATAGGAATGTATTCTGAAAATATACTCAGCGACTGTTTGAGATTTGCATGGGTTTTCATTGTCTCAGCTAATAAGATATTCATCTGAATGGAAAAGGCGTAAATCAAATGTCTCCCTAGCAGAATTGGATTTATGTTTCCTATGCAAAGCAACAGGATTTCAAACTGCATGTGCTTGTGAAGATCTAATCTAAAAGCAATAATTTGCTAGAATTGGACTGATTAATATTATGAAACCATAAACGGAAGAATCAGGAACACAGGAAATTGCCTTATACTAAGCCAAAACTATAGTCAATGTAGACTTGTATTGACAGCGATAAGTGGCAGAACTGGCTCTCTGTGGCTTCAGGTACAAATCTTCCGTCATACCTGGAGTTCCCTGCTAGTCTCGGAGGGCCTCCCACCCAAGTACAGGATCGACTGGCTCACAAGATGATCCCGGAAGAAACTGCCCATTTACTATGGACTTAAAGCAGCATCACATTATTAAATCTTTCAAAGGTTTTGGATGGCATAAAAGTACATCAAACAAATCAGCTATCCTCTCACTACAAGATCTTACTATAGCATCAGACCAAAAGGCTGGAAACTGGTCTACACTTGAAATATGGGCATGGTTCAGAGTTCAAAACCTAAAACAATTGTATACATTCATGTACAGGCATTTTCCCTTTTCCAGTTTTCCTTGATTAGATTACCATCTGGTAACATAATAATTACTGTCTCAGTTACACAAAACTGATTGCGTTAAAAAGGAAAAAAAATTAACTGCCTTATTTGCCAAGAAAATCTACCTCCTGCCACTGTTCTATACTCTTGTGGCTTATTGGAGAACAGATCTTTATTTAAGAAAACGCTATTTCTTCTCCTAGGCTGCTTACCTTGGAGGGACAAAACTAGTGCTTAAGTGTTCAACACATACAAAAGCCTAGTTTAAAATGATAGTTTGAGATCAGAAAGAATGTGAATTTCTCTCCAGTTATACTAACAAAGGTCAGAAAGAAAATTTCCCATCATTATAAAATTTTCAGATTGAGGGTTCAGATGTTCATGAAGTTTTAACTTTTTCAGTAGAGGCAAAGAAAGTCTTTCAGACTTTCACAATACAACACAACCACACCAAACCACTGAGGAAAAACAGTATTTTCTTCTCTTACAAACAAACCTGTAAGACAGAAATGGCTTTGCCAAGACTGAATGGCATGGAAGAAATCAGATATTTAAAGCAAGTAAACAAAAAAAAGAGTAAAATTGCCCATTCCTTCTTTCCTAGGAAGATGACTAACAGTTCTCTGAAAAGCTACTATTTCAGGTGTCTAACACACTTTATGGAATATATGTTGCCTGACACAAGCACATGTACACACACTCACACTCAGAGAGAGAGAGAAGCCATACGGGCCGTGACAACACATGATGGACGTTTTATATTGATTCTCCCTCCCACTTCTTTTTAAACAAAATTTACATTTTCTAGGATATTTGAGTGCAACACCAACCCAAGGATCTGCTACCACACCACTTTAATTTCTTTGCATGCCTCTGGGGAAAGTAAGAAAGTGGAACAGTTGAAGTTCAGATTGTGCTTCACAGTGTACCAAGTTGGCCATGGGAAAAAGATTTCAAAAAGCAGGAGAAACAATCTCCTGCTTAACACTCATATTCAATGGGTGGAAGAGGATTCATGAGAAACTGGAGTGGAGTAACAAGAAGAGCGTGGAGTGGGCAAGAAAGAGAACAGGAGAGACTTGGGGCCTTAAAACTGGAAACAATAAGGATCGGCACAGGAATTGTTCTGATTTTCTGATTTCATCAGCCAAACCAATTGCCAAATAATTTCATTTATTGAACAACCATTTACAGTAGCTCTGAAATTCAGCTGTTAGTCTGAACCCTCACTGCCCAAACAGAAATCCAAGAGGATTGTGCAAAAAATTGCTATTCGCAGAGTGACCCCTGAATAAAGAAGATTCTATATATAAAGTGACAAGACAGTGTGCATATGAGAAACGATGCCACTTAGACATGGCTGGCTGCTGAAGCTCAGATGTCCATGTTTTTCAGTTCATGGAAAATATTTGTTCCAGTGTGGGGAGGAGAAACAATGGCCATTGACATTTGGAACTAGGTGTGTACTACGCCATTTTTTAAATTGTCCTTAAGAAACTAGCCTTGTGCAATGAGCAAAAGAAAGAGAGAGGGAAAGAGAAGGAGAGTAATGAATCTGTAGTAGTACACACACACACACACACACACACAAAAACACACCCCTCCACCTTGATTCAACACAGCCCAAATTTTGAAGGGCACCTGAGGGACCAAAAGCATCATAATACCTCACAGATATCAGTATACCTAGCTTGAAAAAAGTTCATTAGGGATTTGGGTTATATTCCGCCCTTTGGCACTTAAAGCACTCTTTGAGTGGTTTACAATTTAATTTTGCAGGCTACACATCGTCCTCTTGCCCAGTAAGCTGGATACTCAAGTTATCAACCTCAAAGGGATGGAAGCCTGAATGAACCTTGAGCCAGCTACCTGCGACTGAACCTGGGACGTGAGCAGAGTTTTGGCTGCATGACTACAGTTTAATTAGTACACCACAAGTACAATATAAGCACCTGGAACAAAACCTAACATTCCGGAAATACCAAATTTTCTCCCCAAATTTTTTTTTTTTGTACAAATCTTATTTTACTTGTGGCCTATAGCCCATGGAATATAGCGTCAGTGGACAATTGGGTGGCAGTCTATGAAAATATATGCGAAAATAAAACCTACTGGTCTGGTAGGTACCACAACACTCTGTTGTTTTTGCTACAACAGACTAATGCAACTAATGCTCCACCTTTAAATTATTTTGTTGTATATTTATAAGCAAATTATATTTGAGATTGGCCTTGTTCTTCTCTTGTTCATAGTTTAATTTAGCCAAAAATGATACACAGTCATGCAGCTATAGAGGAGAATTATTTAAGACAGTAAGACTAAAGCAGTCATTCTAGCTCAATTTCTTTTACAGTTCTTATACCTAAGGTTTCACTTTTATTCTGCATTGTAATGCTCATAGGTGGCCACATTCTGCCTCCCTGAAACAGGGCATTGGGATGTTGAATAAGGGATTGTGAGGGGGTAAACACACAAAACACTGCAGTGGTATCAAAGAACCGACCTAAACAAAAAGGCCAGTTATGTTCTTGAGGGAAAC